GGGGGGGGGGGGGGGAGGAACCTTCCAGTATAAATCTTTGCCGAGTATCCCTCGGTCTATGCGCACTACGTGTGGGTTCACAATGTCACATGGTTTCAGTTTACCTTTGTTAGGTGACCTTGATGAAAGCTTTATGCTTCTGAGAAGAGACAGCGCATCTGTTTGACCCAAAATGGATACAACGTCTCTTGTAAGACGTGACGGCTTCAGACTCCCTGATGTGAAGCCAGAATAAATGTCCATGGTCTTCTCCCGGAGGTCGCCTTTCAAAATTTTAGTTGCAAGGGATACAACGAAAAGCTAGTTCAACACCCATTGGTAAAAAGAAAACTGCTACTTATAAGACTTCAGTATGTTGACCCACTGAGACATTTTCCATAGTTTTGCTAAAAGAGACCACGTTTTCATTATCAATTGATTATCAAACAGAGAAGCTTCGACTGTGCTCTGTTATGTTGTCCCTTTATGTTTGAAACATACCTTAGCATGAAAAACATACCGCATCAGTAAGCAAACCCCTTAGCAGATTTTAGGTTTTCTTCATAACTTCTCTTTCTGGAAAGAGATAAATAAAGCTGTTAAGCCGTTTACCTCTAAACCATTCGCTTTCCAACTGCAATAAAAACCTTTCATAATATGCCCAAGATCTCTTGATTATTACGTTTCACTTTTATTTCTGAAGGACACTTAATACTGTTTCATATATTAAAGTGAAGAGTTTTTGACACTTGCGCTCTGGAAGGGTCGGGAAGAACAGGGTTTGCCTCGCTGTTAAGGTTTTTTTTTTTTTTTGTCTAGTTGGAGACTGCTTGGTTTTCGCGACTTTTATCAATGATACAACAGCATGAATTACAACAGATGAATACACTGAATACATCAGACATAAAAGCCCTTTGAACGTTGTGTGTACAAACGAACGTGACCTGAATAAACAAATTTATTTTTAGCATTGCGTGATTTGCGGGTTACGTAACATGTTCTTTTACCATGCTCGTAGTAAATCAAACTGTACAGATATAAATAAATGTATGTATCTCGACAAAGATAACCACAACAAGCCTTTGCATTGAGAGCCGTTTTGCAGGCCCACTTTCCTCATATTATTTGCAGCCTTTGCCAAGGCTATTTCTTATGGGCTAAGCCTCAGGAATCACCCACCTCGTGTTCAAACCACAACAGCGGCAGCATACGTAATCGTATCTTTTGCAGCGCATCCATTTCTCCAAAGTTATTTCTCGTATGCCGATCTTTGAGGACAAACGAATCAATTTTTTTCTTTTAGTCTAAGCAGAGAAGACATCTAAAAGATTTTTATTTGTCAAAGGTCGTCACAAGCAGGTCACGAGTTGGCATAACAAGAATTTCTAGCCACGTGATATCATTTCCGCTCTCAAATAAATCCTGCGTCACCAAATTGTGAGATCTTTTGGTTCCGAGCGATTGCAAACTAAGGGTCTGAGCAAGGAAGTAGAAGAAAATATGTCTGCTGTTTCTTTGTTTATACTCTGCTCATCATTCTTAGTAATTACCTCTGCTGTGGCGGTTAGTCTTCCCCGAGATCTTCCCGAGACGCACATGAACGTGGTAAGTTTGAGATTTATGAAATTCACTTTCTGTCCGTTTGTAATTGTGTAACTGGCTGAGTTGTCGATAACTGCTATTTGATCCTAACTTCTAGACTGAGAAATTTAAGTGTAGTTATAAAGTCAATATGACGAACTAATTTGTAATCTCGACTTTGAAATTGCTATCTTGAATCTGATGGATTTATATATGTGTTGTACCAGGTCCAGCTATAAATGTAAATCAGCGATTGTGCAATATGTAAATTTACGGGTGAATATCTCGAACATACTAGGTAAGCTCTGACACGATTTCCATACTGGATACTTCAGACTCAAGGTTATAGGAAAAATTATGATTTTCCGAATACGCTTTACAGTTCCGCTGCTGCTGAGAAAGCGCAATCGACGATGACGGAAGAAACGCAATTTTGTTCTGCAATTGAAGTTAAATGAATAATGGACTGGTATCTTAACTCAGCTTCTTGCCGGCCAGTTATTCATAACACGTTTTCGATTTCCCCTCAAACGCGAGAAAACAGTAAAATATACGACATAAACTGAAATGAAGTCTTGGCGCACCTTGACTGACCAGCTGGGTGGGTCACGCTGGTACTGGGACGTCTGCCAAGTTTGGTCACGCAAGGTGTTTTGTCTTGGTCACACAAAGCTTCTACTGATTGCCGTTACAGGGGAGTGGGAAGGGGGGCTACGCCTCGGGTGCATGCTTTAAAAATTGATGAAATAAATTTTCATTTTTTAACGGAGTGACAGAAATTTGTTTTAATGAACTTTTACAGAGCCAAATCATTGCTTACAATGGCTACCCAGTGGAGGAATACCCCGTGACTACAGACGATGGCTACATCATCTTCATTCAGAGGATCCCAGCAGGAAGGAACGAGGTTCTCAGTGATGAACCAAAACCTGTGATTTTTCTTCAGCATGGACTGCTATGTTCGTCCTCTAACTGGGTCACAAATTTGCCAAATGAGAGTTTTGCCTTCATCTTGGCCGACGCTGGGTTTGATGTGTGGCTTGGTAATGTTCGAGGGAATACATATGGTCTCCAGCATATCAACTATTCTGTGCATTCAGATATATTTTGGGAATTTAGGTAAGTTAGTTTAGACGCTCCGATCCGTGTGTAGTTTCATAACGTTTCGACCTAAGGGTCAAGTCGCACTAGAGGACAAAACTGTTTACTTATATCAAAAATCTGTCATCACAACGAAAAACCAAGTGTGACCGGTTTGTTCCCCAAAGGACAAAATTTGGTCGCGAGGGGACAAACTTCAAAGATGCCGTCGACTATCTCTGGAACAGGCCAAATTGAGACAAATTTTGGAAAACAAAAGCGGTGTTTTGATTCGGAAATGATTTGACAGGTGATATGTAGCAGAGTCTCTATGCGATAGACTTCGCGGTAAAATTAGTCACATTCTCATTTCGCAACAACATGAATCCCGGCGCGGGAGACCAATTTTTCCCGTACGAATTTCCACAATATCCACCAGGATGAATCTGTCCTTTGTCAGGCCCTTACATGTTTAATGATCGCAGATTTTGTTCTCAAGTGCAACCGTAGCTTTCCGGACAAATTTTTTGTCACTGGCCGATTTCAAGAGGCAGGTACAAAAGTCGGACCGGATCAACTCGGACCGCCACTCCGGGTCGGATCAACTCGGATCAACTCGGGTCGACTCGGATCGTCTCGGATCATGAAAAAAAACATAAAATTAAATAAAATTGAAACTTTTATCCATTTGAAGGTTAAAATTCCGGTCAAAAATGGGCCAAATTAAGACAGAATCGCGACGTTTCTCCGTGTCGTGCTGTGTAGTCAAGCCGCCATTTTGTATTCTTAGTGCCAGTTCCTCTCGGACTCGTCTCGTGTTCCTCCGTCCATCCATCCGTCGATCTCCACGATCATGGACCCAGATGAAGGTAAATCTATCTCAATGAATTTGCATCTGTCCACCAAATTGATAGTTCCAGTCATAACCCATTTCTGTTACGCTGCGTGATTTTGTAGAAATTCGCTTTACTTCCGTTTGGCTCCTAATTTGGAGAACAGGAAGTTGATAGATTTAGCTAATCATTCAGCAAAACTTGCCCTGCTTGACGACAGGGATTTCAGTCCAAAATGGTTGATGTTTTATACGAGCGAACTTAAAACGATTTTCAAANACGTCAACCATTTTGGACTGAAATCCCTTGTCGTCAAGCAAGCCAAGTTTTGCTGAATGATTAGCTAAATCTATCAACTTCCTGTTCTCCAAATTAGGAGCCAAACGGAAGTAAAGCGAATTTCTACAAAATCACGCAGCGTAACAGAAATGGGTTATGACTGGAACTATCAATTTGGTGGACAGATGCAAATTCATTGAGAAAGATTTACCTTCATCTGGGTCCATGATCGTGGAGATCGACGGATGGATGGATGGAGGAACACGAGACTAGTCCGAGAGGAACTGGCACTAAGAATACAAAATGGCGACTTGACTACACATCACGACACGGAGAAACGTCGCGAGTCTTTCTTAATTTGGCCCATTTTTGACCGGAATTTTAACCTTCAAATGGGTAAAAGTTTCAATTTCATTTAATTTTATGTTTTCTTTTTCATGATCCGAGACGATCCGAGTCGATCCGAATTGATCCGAGTTGATCCGACCCGGAGTGGCGGTCCCAGTTGATCCGGTCCGACTTTTGTTCCTGCCTGATTTGAAGTCGGATTCGTCCAGAACAAATCTGAAATCGCCCTCCAGTGCGACTTGGCCCTAACTTACCAGCTGTAAACTAGACTTTTCTGTACAGGCTATTTATCAAGAGTGAAATAGTGGTTACAGATTGGTCCTCGTATGCTTTAACATTCTCTTTTTCTACAAGAATATTGTTTTTCCGGCCCAGCCTGAATATACTTATTTTTCTGCCGATTTTAGACTGAAAATATTCTTATGAATGTTCTTAGAGTATGGCATATAGCATTTCCGTTTTATGGCGTTGAAGCTATTAAGTAATTTTGGAGCACGACCGCAGGAAACAAAACCTGATACGATACACATAACTTTTTGAAAAAATGTTATCGGTATCGAATATACGACTAGTGCTGTTTTTGGTTAGTTTTCAGTTAAAAGAAAGGAAGAATTTTATACGGTTCAGTCAAAAACATTTAATTGCATTGTATTTACAAATTTTCAACACAAATTGTATTCTTTGCCAAATCTCAGCCTAGGGTTTATTATTTTAGAAATACTCTTAAATGACAATTTTCAGTCTTGATATTACTTCGAAAACACTAGCCTAGCAGGGCTAGGCTACTCACTAGGCTACTCACTATCTATATCAGAACACATAGTAAGTAGCGTAGCCAATCGGAGAACGGCATTCGTGATAGGACGCTCTTAGATTTATACTAGTAAAATATATTCTTATAGAAAGAACAGAGTTTACTTATAAATGTTCTATCAGGCGTCACCAGAAAAGAGGTTCAGGTCCCGTTACTTTGTCATTATTCTGATGGAAATCGTCTTTGATATGAGTATATTGAGGGATAACAGTGATTACAATTATTGAAGATCCCGTTACGTAACATTTCTTGCGAATCAGGGCCAAAAAAAACACTCCAGTTTATCACGTGGACAAATAAATACACGTTTTCTTACCCTTTAACGGCCAAATTTTAAAAATGATGGGCTTTTTTACCGTCAACTCGATTTCTTGGCTGCCACGACTCTGAATTGGCCTAACTTTGCTGAAAAAGCAATTTCTTACGGAGGAGCAAGATTTTCCTGAGGATCAGGTACCGAAATGAACAATGTATTACTTTGGAGCATGCGCATAAGCCAAAATTCGACTTATTAGGTCGACGATATTAGGATGGAAAAAAACTGAACTATATTTTCTGGGTAGTTTATAACTTCCCGGATATAACTGAACCGGGCACGTATTCATGATATCCTATTTCTGGAAACTTTGTTTAATCTTACAGCTGGGATCAAATGGCTCGTCATGACCTACCCGCCATGTTGAAATTTGTATTAGCAAAGACGTCACAGCCTTCATTGTATTACGTCGGACATTCGCAAGGAACCCTGATCGCTTTTGCAGAATTCTCCAGAAACAAAGAATTGGCCAAAGTGGTGAAGAAGTTCTTTGCTCTTGGACCCGTCGCGACAGTGGGACACATGGAGAGTCCTATTAAATATCTGGCTCATTTTCTTCCTGAAATTCAGGTACTGTACACTATACGGTAGTTTGTCTTTTCATCTTTCTTGTCCTTGTTTAGTTTAATCGTAACCTGATTACAACAACGTCTCTCTCTGCATCGTCAACTATCCCCCTTCACCTTCTCCCCCCTCATGAGAGTTTCTTATTGGCCGTTTCTTACAACCGCGCGAAGCTTCAAAGCCTAATAACAACCAATGACAATACACGAATCTGTGTAGTCATTCTGACGTCATCACTGAGAATAGAATAGGAGACGATTTTCAACCCGCGAAGAAACGTTCATGTTTCAAAAATATTATTATACAGTGGAATCCCGATTTCTCGAACCTGGTTTGAAAAATCGGTTAGTTAAAATTAGAGTTCAACTGAATGGAGGGAAACGACTTTTGGTTCGAGTAGTCGGGAGATTCGAAAAAATCGAGGGCTCGAGGAATTGGGAGTCCACTGTATCAACTTCATCAACTAGCTAGCTCATGCTTTTTTACATAGAAGAAAAAGTAATCTGCATTTTTGCAAGCAAGATATGCAACGCATAAATCATTCTGAGGGACCACTGTTTGAACATCCTGCGGGGACTGACATCTTTCTTTCTTGTTTTGCTTATCTTAGGCTTTGTTCAAACTTTTCGGCGTGCGTGATTTTCTTCCATCTGATTTCATCATTCGCTGGTTAGCTGATTACGTGTGTTCCGAGCAAGACTTAGAGACATTCTGTGGGGATATTGTTTTTGTCATCTGTGGATTTGATAAGCAGCAGCTTAACAAGGTGAGTTGGCCTTTTTTTGTTGAAGAGATTTTCTCATTGCAGTAAGAATTCGATAAAGCACTCACTGAGGGCGCTTACTGGCATTTTTGCAGCTCAAGGAAAGTTGCTTTCAGCTTTGGTTCACGAGTTTTATCACACGCGGTAAGAGAAGATGAAGAGTGAGAGAGTTAATCCCTCATAAAGGCCTTATTCGCAAGGTAATCCCTCTCAAGTTATTTTTGGACCAGTCCTCAATCCCAATAGGATACGCTTCTACCAATAACCAATCCTGTGAAACGGAGTTTGCTCACGTGGACAGCCCAAGACGCTTTTTACGTATTTTCAACCTCAACAAAAACATATTCGCAATGCGCGTGTTAACATTATCCACGCTGTTCTGGGTACCATATCTAAAAATAGCTCATTTGAGAGATATTACCTTGTGAATAAGGCCTATATGGCGGATTAACTCTCTCACACTTTATCCTCCCTTTCACCCGGTCAGTCGTTTTCTTCAAGACCAGTTGTTTGATTTGCACCTGCACGTCTTTGAAGCGTGATCAGAACAAGCTCCTAAGAAGGATAGAGGATGCAGTGGAGAATGAGTTGGGCATTTATTTAACTCACTGTCTTTGATGATTTTCTTATTGACAGACGCGACTTCCAGTGTATTTCTCACACACTCCAGCGGGCACATCAGTTCGAGACATGGTCCACTTTGCTCAGGTATGTGACTAATCTGCTGTCTCATACGTTAATAGGCCCTTTGTAGGATCCGGTCACATGGTACGGAATTAATTACGGTGGGACGCAAGTTACGCAGTGGGACTTCCGAAACAAAGGAACTCGTACCAGTGCAGCCCGACTTTCCTTTGTTTTGGAAGTCCCACTGTGTAACTTGCGTCCCAGCGTAATTAAGGTTGCAGTATACCTTCGGGTTGACAATTTTCTTCAAATTTGGATTTTTGGGTCAAAATAGTGGTCGAAGAATAATTTAGTGGTCGTGAAAAATTCGACAATTCACTTTCTTTCAAAATTCTTGGTATAGTTTGATAGCCAGCTCCGTAAGCTTTAATTTGATATAGGGGTTTAGGTATCTAAAACTTAAACTGCACGCGCTACATTGCTTGCGCGCGAGACACCCCTGAAGGTATACTGTAACCTTAATTCAGTACCATGTGACCGGATCCTGCAAAGGGTCTATTGTAAGATGCAAGGATGAAGAAGAATGAATGTCTTACTATTGATTGATGTATCTCTAGCTAGCTGTCTCTATGTTATAAGAGACAATTGGGGACGGTTCACGAGTGCTGTCTATACACAGTGCTCGATGCAAAGATCACGCTTGACCAGTGATTTATCTCGCCATTGTCATTTTCAGGTCAGTCAATTTTTAGGAATATAAAATTTTTACGTATCTCTCAACAGATGTACTTATCCAAGAAGTTTCAGATGTACAATTATGGAAGCGCTAGCGAAAACATGGAGCACTATGGACAGGTGAGCCGGCGACGAAATCAAATGGTCTCAAATGGCGTCCGAATGGCACTGTGTTGAATATCTTTTTCGGTCTAGTTCAATCTTTATCATCCGTAATCCGTTAACCCTCTGCGAAATTGTCATTACTCAACTACTACTGTCATGAAATTAAAGTGACACTGATTTTTACACAACAGTTTCTGAAGAAAAAAAAAATCTTAAATGTAGTCAGTTCCCACTTTCCAATGTTGTCTCGTTTTTAGGCTCATAAGTTTTCGGAGACACAATATTTTATTGCAAGGAACGTTTATTAATAGGGACGGGAAAAAGCCTGGAAAGGTGAAGAGGAATCCAGAGCATGTCTGAATCATTTCATTTTGAATAGAATGCATGATGTCAAGAGTCTCAAGCCGTATTATCTCCATTGTTCCTGTTCTCATCTGATGTACGTTTCGAGTCAGTTTGTTGTAAGCCATTGTGAAATTGTCATAATCACACCTTTTTTTTTTTGTTTTATGGCCATTTAGAGTAAGGACACTCGAACCAGGAACACTTAGCGTCAAAAGAATGGAATTAAGCTCTGCAGATGATGTGCAAGATTGGCGTTTTTACAAAGTTAAAAAGCTAAATACGCTGCAGTCACTTTTAAAAATATGCAAAACATTACGAGTGCTCACGATTTGAATGTCCTCGCTGTAAAGGGCAAGGAATAATTCAAACGTAGGCAAAGGGTTGCTGACTAACTAACTTGTTATTGCAACCGTCTTTAGGACACTCCGCCAGTATACAATGTAACCGCAATGACTGTCCCTGTGGCGCTGTACTGGGCGCAGAATGACTGGCTAGCTGACCCTGAAGATGTCCGGGCCCTGCTTCCTCTGCTGCCGAACAGGATGTACGACAAGTATATCAAGAATTGGGATCATATGGACTTCATCTGGGGGCTGGACGCTGCTAAACTAGTTTACTATGACATCATTAAGCACATTAAGACACAAATGTAATCAGCAATTAGATTATTCGCTCTCGATTTCTATCGCGTAATAGTTGACGAGGGCGCAACCTGAGTCAGCTATCACGTGTAGAAATCGAGAGCGAATAATCGTATTGTTTTAGTGTAAATCTACTAGTCGTTCAAAACTTTATCTAAATCCCCTTCACGGACAGGAAAACGCAAAGCGGCCGCCAGTTTGTTAACAAGCGCACACTCACGATCTACAACGGAATAGATGGTGAGTAGCGTGGCCAATCACAGAACGGCATTCGTGATAGAACGCTAGTATATTTATACTAAGGATAGATAGATACATACATAAGAACAGGATCTAGACCATAAGCTCTATGTTTTCCAAAAGTTTTCCATTTTTAAACAGGATCTAGACCACACTGCATGCAGTAATAATACCACATGAAATGTCCAGCACTCAAGGTGAAAGCACGAGGCGAAAGGGAATGGTTTCACAAAGGTTTGGGACATTTTATGACGCCATTTCTTCCGGAACCCGATAAATGTATGAGCATTATTTTCGTGCAAATAGTGTGAATCCGAATTTTACATTTTGAAGTTTTTAAAGTTAGACACTCTATCAATCTATGAAACGACATTGAACAAAGCTAATATATCGAGATTATAAAAAATTACCTTTGTGGAACTGTTTAAAATTGTGCGCCAGTTAAAACCCTTTGTCATGAGATGGGTGCTTTTTTAATGGGAGCTTTTTTCATATAAAAAATGTAATAAAAAATATAAATAATAATAATAATATTAATAATAATAATAATATAACAATAATAATAATAATCACAATAATCTTAATAATCATAATCATAGTATAGCATATTGGCTGAAAACGTGATTACAAATCGTCCATTGAACAAACAAATGTCATAAGTGCAAAGCGAATGATAAACTCAGTTGCTATGCCAATTTTGAACGGAATAGAAAAAACTTGGGCTTAAGACATATAATTAGTTTAATAGGTAGCCTATGCCTCTAATACCACACATAATTATCTTAATGTCAATGAGCAAATCATGCAAACCTGAGAAACTAATTATGACTTCGGCCATAATTAAATTCTCATGCCGACTCCAGAAGAAAAACCTAGAAATTAGGTTTTCTAAATTGTTGCAGCTTGATTGATGACGAATGAGACAGCAATGCAGGTCATATTTTTAGACTCGATTGTGGGCTGTCATACCAGTCGTCTCTCGCCCGGGGAGGAGGCTGAGGGCGGGAGATGACCGACGTTTCAGGCTAGTTGACTGGCGGTAGTTCGTCGTCAGTCTTCGATTCCAACGTCGGTCGTCGGTTTCAACAGACTCAAACGGTCAAACCAGTGCAAAAGCGTTTTGAAGTGTTTAAGATTAGCTCGCTCATTATGTGTTGTAGAGGAAAGAAAAATTATAACTTTTACTGAAGTATTAATTAAGGCTATACGTGAAATAAAGGAGCATTAAGCCAGTGAGTCATCGCGTTTCGTTCTTTATTTCAGGTACATCATGTTTGCAATTAAATGAAGTAGGACACAATTACACTTTACAAACGTGTTCACTGTTTATGTGCAGTGTTATTGTACACCTGGCAACTGCAACATTTCCTGTCCTCGTGATCAAAAGGGATATAACTCGCTTAATGGACACCGGCTGTAAGGGCTGCATCCTATGCTGCACATAATGCCCTTCAAGTCATTTATTTATTATTTTTTTATTGTATTAATATTAGTATTAGTACAGTTTTTTAGCAGTGTTCCCTAATTAGTATGGTGTTTTTATTTCCAGGCCATAAGGTTTTTGACACTTTAATAAAGTTCTCAGTCACTCACGGTAATTGGCTGAAGCCACTCTTACGTGCAAAATGCTTCCTCTTCAGAAGTCATTTCTTGTAGCTTCTCCTGTGGCAATGCATAAGACAAGTTGGTCTGTTGTTGCTAACCAAGGTCCTTTAATTTGTTAATTCTCATTGGTGTGAATTTCGTTTGGTACCTCGTCTGTGCAAGATCCATCTGATAAGTAATCAAATGCATCAGAGAATTGATCGATTGTAGCTATTGGGTTACTGAAGAGCTTCCCTCTGGCACTATTTCTTTTTCTCTTTCTCGCGCGGCTCCCGTCAGCTTCACCGACATCAGGTTGTGATAACGTATTATCATGACTAGAAAAATGGCCAGCTGTTTTGCTTTGTCTTAGTTTCTTCGAGACCTTTAGCTGTACATCAGCTTTACAGCGTTTTCTTTTGATTGTCGTAACTTTACTTCCGTCGTAAGAATGCTTGTGCTCCTTATTACTCGGTTCTTTGACGATGCTTTTCCTCTTTGTATCTCTACAAAAGTCATCATCAGTTAGATCTTCCCACGTCCTTGATCTCCTCTCCTTGTTAGGTTCTGGGCAAGAAAAGGTTTTTCGAAACTTTTCTTTAGCATTTCTCTCACCATTTGCTGATCGTTGTGAAAGTAATTTACTTCCTTTTCCATTCCCACATGATTTAGCTCGACGAGATCTTGTCCCATTTTCCTCATTGATCGCCTTCTTTCGTAACTGTAACAAGATAGAAGTTCACTTCAATACAAAAATATCACACAGGTTGAAATTATAATCACAATCAGAATAGAGAATTGCACAAATATAAGAGCCAAAGTTTTGTTATTCTTCATGCGAATTGCTGTACTAATTGTTACTAAAGAATTGAGAGCTCTCCAAACTTCCCAAGTGCATCCATAACTCAATATACGCACAGCTAAAAGCATGAACCAATTCTTTTATAACATGGCGACAACAACTTGGGCGCTAAAACATGTTTTATTTGTGATTGACTACAAAGTTC